ATCATCTCACAATAATTGCATCTCAGAAATTTTGGGTTTTAGCAGAAACTTTGGGTTAGTCCTATAATTTGTCTTATCGTTATGGGTCCCTTGGGCTAGAAAGTGAAGAAAAACTCCTGCGTACGAACGAAAGCCCACTTAGTATTTCAGTTGACTTGTGTGTAATTTGTCCCAACTCCTAAATTCAAGTTAATTTGTCAGTTACCAAAATCTTCTAGCATTTAATTAGTATAATCATCTAATCACTTACTAATTACTTCATTTGTCTTAAAATGATAGTCATATATATCGTTTTAGTTAACAACGCCAAATATAATAATCATGTTGGGAGAAAACGAGTATTTGTTTTGATACGAAATATCATCTTAAGAGGACAATTTTGATTGATATTTAGGTTGCAAGTGCAATTTGCAACCTCTTAAAACTTTATTTACATTTGTGATTCTATTCACTTAAGAGAGTTCAAAACTAAATTGATTTTATCCATGCATATGAAGACAAGTATGTTGAGTTTGTTATACTCCCTCTGTTTTAAAATTATTGTCCAGTTTGAAATTTCACTTTTAGTACAATTTGAACTAAAAATGAAAACTCAAACTGGACAATAATTATGGGACGGAGGGAGTAATACATTTTCACTTGAAGGATTTATGGAACTTTTATGCAAGTTAAGAATAGCCATCCAAAAATGAGGATTTGAATTTTAACACCCAATGATTAAAACTTGAGTGGGGGAGAGTTGCATTTCAACCTTGGAACGCTTGTAGTAAATTCAAATATCATGTGCATTACATTCAAAAATGTCATGTGTTAATGTGGTGGATTTTATATTCCTTCCACAACAAGGAGCGTTTTTTCAGAAAAATAAAAAAATAAAAAAATCAAGGTGATATTGCGTCCACTACATAAGAAAAGTTCATGATTTTTTTTTTTTTCATTTTTTGGTACACTAGGATTCTGTTTATAACTTTAGTGATTACTTTTCCTAACTTACAGAAATAAACATACCTGTCAAAAGCATAATTCATGTTCTTTAATTAAACAAAAAAGATAAAAAGTGTAACACTTTGTAACTAACACGAGTGATGAGGACATCTACACAGTAAACCACTAGACAATATAATAACAATAATTTAAAATGTCTAACATAATCAATTCAATTAAAAAAAAAAAAAGTTTCCCATCTAAGTCTGAACAAATCTCTGCTCTAAAATATACCCCGCGAGTAGGAATTTTTAATGCTTGTTTGGATGTCAACTTACATTTCATGTTGCCACTTAAAACTGGAAAGTGTTTCAAATTGAAAATTAAATGGGAAATAAAAATTTTGTTTGGATGTTGATTTTGAAAAAAAATATTTTGAACTATGTTTTGAAATATCAAGTGTAAGTCATCACTAAATAATTAAATACTGTCAATTATAGTCATTGAAAAGAAGAACTTTTCCAAAAACAATCACTCAACAACAGAATTCTGCCAAATTTGTCACTGAACTATTTGTAGTTCTAAAATGGTCATTACACTAACAAAAAGTGTTTCAAGTTGGAATTTAAAATGTAAATCAAAAAGTTGTTTGAATATATTTTCTTTTCCATTGAGTTTTGTGTTTAAGAGATAAAATGAGTGAAAATGTAAAATAAACTATTGTCGAAACAAGGCCTTAGAGTTTAGACAAACCGTCCACCGTCCAAAATCTAAATTTGAAAAAAAAAAAAAACATATGTGACGTACATACTATAATAGCTAATTCATTTCTTCCGGATGTAGTAATTGAATTAGTTACAAATTCAAACTATACATTTTTATTCAGCTCAATTTTAGACAGTGAAATCTCAATTTATTTGTTATCTATAGTATTATACTAAGAGAGAAACCAGAGAGAGGAAATCAAACTTCTCATCCCGTTGACACATAGGATAAAATCATATGTGTCATTTTCTATAGGTTGACACTAAAAATATTTACAACAATTACACAAACAGTCCTTTGAATTTTCAGTTAAAAAATTATTATCAATTCTAAATTAAAGTATATCAATTAATTGTATGGTAAACTTTCTATTTTGCATTTCCTAAAATGAAAAAATAAAACGAGAAACTTTTAAAATCTCAATATTAAATAAGATTGATTTGAAAAAGATTATCCGATTGGCTTGGATAATGGTATTAAGTCTTGATTTGATCATTAAACAATATTAATGATCATTTGAAATTTGAAAATAATAAATATAAAATCATCAGTGAATCTTTAATTCAACATAAAGTTGATTGATTGGAAAAGATTTTTTTATGGGCTTGAGTTATGCTATTAATATTGGTTTGATCATTAAATAATATTAATATTTTTTTTGAAATTCAAAAATAATAAATACAAAATCATCATTGATTCTTTAATTCAACAATAACACTGGTTGTTTTGAAAAGATTTTTCGATTGGCTTGAATAATGTCATTACATATTGGTTTGATCATGAAATAATATTAATGTTTTTTTAAAATTTGAAAATAATTAATGAAATTGTAGATAATATTTTTTTAGAGATATATCATCTATAGTTTATAGTATTATACTAAGAGAGAAACCAGATAGAGGAAATCAAACTTCTCCTCCCGTTGACACATAGGAAAAAATTTTATGTGTCATTTTCTTATAGGTTGACACAAAAAAATATTTATAACAATTACACAAACACTTCTTTGAACATCAAGTTAATAAATTGTTTTCAACTCTTAATAAAAATATATCAATTAATTGTGTGGTAAAATTTCTATTTTGCATTCCCTAAAATGAAAAAGAAAACGATAAATTTTTAAAATCTCAACAGTAAATAAGATTGATTTGAAAAAGATTATCCGATTGGCTTGAATAATGGTATTACGTATTGATTTGATCATTAAACAATATTAACGATTATTTGAAATCCGAAAATAATAAATACAAGATCATAAGTGATTCTTTAATTAAATATTAAAGTTGATTGATTTGAAAAGATTTTTTGATGGGCTTGAATAATATTATAGATATATAAAGTGATTCTTTTTTTATTAATATTTTTTTTTTTCAAAAAAACTATCCCAGTGAACCCTACTTAAATGTGGGTAAAAAACCACCTTACAAACACCTTGGTGGAATCAAACCGTGATCTATTACTAAGAAAGACAGCACCCTAACCGCTAGGCTATCATTCAATTCCCTAATCATTTAACAACTTTCTTCTAGTCGAAAATGACAAAAATAAGAATCGAACCTTGCCCCTCACATAAAAATACACATTGACCAACATTAGCCTAGCTAACTTCTTGTAAATTTGTCCTTTTATTATTTGTTTGGGGCCAAAACTGATGATTAAAGTTTGACATTTACATTAATTTTGCACAAATCTTAAATTTAATATAGATTATTTTTTGAGAACAAAGAGAGTATAATTCTTTTCCTATAATCATTTTTTTTGTTCTAGTACTCATAATAATAAAAGCACAAATAAAAACACGCCCCTCATCGATACATAAATTTTATTTTATTTTTTTTACTAAAATCGACAAATTAAGAATCGAACATCTTGATTTCGGCAAATTATCTGGTGCACCTGGGGGCACCGTGTACCCCCTGCAAATTCCCCAAAATGAATTTCAATTGAAGAATTCCGACCGCTGACTATCCCAGCCGCCACCTCACACACACACTCTCCTCACACACACAGTTTTCTTCTTTAATTAACAACAATATTATGTGATGGTTGTCCATGCTATAATTGCTGGTTATCCACCCATTTTAAACTGGTTATCCACAAGTTGTAAACTGGTTATCCAAAAGGTGTAAACTGATTATCCATAAGTTGTAAACTGGTTATCCAAACTTTGTTTGTGGTTATCCACTTATTTTATACTAGTTATCCACAGGGTGTAAACTGGTTATTCATACTTTTTTTTAGATGTGCTTCTATGTAGCTACCTGTCCATACAATTTGCTGGTTATCCACCCATTTCCGGTGCCCCTGCAAATTCCGGCGGTGCACCCCCGACCGCGTTCAATTAAACCCCAAGAATTCCGGCCAATCGATCCCAACCGCCTCCTCACACACACACACGAAAAAAGGACTCACCTTATAAAAACCGACGTGTTCGGCGGGGCGGCGAAGCTGGGGCGGGTTGGTGACCTGCGATTCAGGCGGCCGCGGGAATCGATTCTGGTAGCGGCGGTATTGAACGAGAAGGTCGAAGAAGAAGAGGCGATGGATTCCGGTGGATTCTGATTCTGATTTGGGGTGTCGGATTTGTTGACGAAGAAGAAGAGCCGTCGAATTTTGTTGATTCCGATTTGGGGTGCACTATATCTCCGGATGCACTGGATACAAACTCTTGATTTCAACACTTATACGATTTTCTCCCTTGAACTTTTTATCAAAAGATGTAAAGTTATTTTATGTACGATTTTTTTAATCACCGATCTATAGTTAAAAAAAAAAAAAAACTATAAAGATGGATACCACTCAACCATAACTACATTAATAAGTGTTCTTACCCCTTAACCTTCGAGATTACTAACCCACCCTGATTGACGTTAACGGATCAAAGTGTCACACGATAGAAAGGAGTGAAAGACAATTCCCTACCCAATGCAATAACTCCACGGTCACTTTTTTACTTCCCATTTATTTAACACGTAACTATAACCCTCTGTTTGTTCTCACCTCAAAACTCCAAAGCCTCTCTCACTTTCATTAAAAAGGAGCAAAAAAAAAAAAAAAACACGCCTTTCCTTTTACCGCATATGTTCTCTTCATTTACGCAACAACCAAAACCCAATATTTTTGCCTTATTTCCCCCAAATCACTATCCCAAACCCAAATTGGTCGGCGCAATCGCATCAAATCAAACACATTCCCTTGAAGAGAAAAAGCAACCCAAATTCAATCAAAGGGCCACCTTGAAATTACACACAGTCACACACTCGATTCTGCAAGACTCATCCCAAGCCGAAGAAGAAGAAGAAGAAGAAGACATGGAAGTAACCCTTGAAGAGTTGAAGAAGAAAATGGCTGATTTTGCTCAAGAAAGGGACTGGGATCAGTTTCACAGCCCTAGAAACCTTCTCCTGGCACTGGTCAGTACTAAAAAATTTGGTCTTTTTTGTTCTCTGGGATTTTGGCTGTGCCATTCTATCTGTCTGATTTATCTGTGAATGTATCACATTCTGTTTTCCTGTGTTGAAAAAGGTTACAAAGTTTTGGTCTTTTTCTATCAACTATACACACACCGTGGGGAACAGTAATTTTGCATTTGACTATTCACTTGTTCATGACCGAATCTATGTTTTCTTTTGGTTACTTTACGTGAAGGGTTATCACCATTTTGGGTTTTGGCTGATTAAGTTATTTTGATACAGAAATTAGAGAAAAGGTTTGATCTTTTCCTTCATTGTATAACAGGAAAAAAAAAAAAAGAAACTCTTGTCCTTTTCTATTTTTTTCCCCAGTATTTTCTGTTTCATATTCTGGAAATAGTTTACATACTGATGAATGCGTTAATCTTAGGAAGAAACTTTTATTCTTGTTCCTTCTTTTTGCATATGTGAATTGTATGATGAGTTGATTTCTCATCCCATGAACATGGAGGATGGAATAGAACCCATAATGTCTCTTTCTTTTTTGATTCTCTGTTGTCTTGGGAACCCAAAATTGACCAGTCCTATTTTGTCCACTCTGTGACTTTTTTTTACTTTTTATGTTTTCTCCAGAATTATGATTACAATAGCACAGTATTCAGTAATCAGAAATCAGAAGAAATCAGAATACAGAGACCGCTGCCTCAAAAGAACTGTTAAACATCTTTCGTGAATTCATTCAATAAAGTTTAAGCCTTTAAGGCACCAAAAAGAGAGTACCATTGAATAGAGCCCACTTGGAAAAAAAAATTAAAAACAAAAACCCTCCTTTTTTGTTGTCAAATGAGTACTTTTTCAGTTTTTGTTGTCAAAAACCCTCTTTTTACATGTGTTTTATCTTTTTTTTTTTTTTGATTCAACATGTGTTTTATCTTTTGTATTTTCATCAGGTTGGAGAAGTGGGAGAATTATCTGAGATTTTCCAGTGGAAAGGAGAGGTGCCAAGAGGGCTTCCAGATTGGAGAAATGAAGAGAAACAGCATTTGGGTGAGGAGCTATCTGATGTGTTGCTCTACCTTGTTAGGCTGTCTGACATTTGTGGGATTGATTTGGGCAAAGCTGTGCTCAGAAAACTTGAACTCAATGCTCAAAAATACCCAGTCGATCTCTGTAAAGGTTCTTCCGAAAAGTATGAACAGATCCACAATAAAAGCAGAATAACGACTACCTCCTCGACAACTAGTGTCATCAGCAATGACTGTGAAAATGGTGAATCTTAATCTAATGATGGTGCTTGATGATCTTCTCTTTGACCTTGTGTTCTCTTTCTTTCTCTATTTTGTAGGCTTTTGGTTTTTTTCCCTTACGTTGTTTTCCTTAGTTTAAGGCTTTTAGCAAAGAACATGGTACTAGAACTTTTGTTATGGGACACAGCAGCAAGCAATTGTTCATGTGGTGTGTTTTTTATGAAGCAGAAGTGACATTAGGATTTTTTTTGTTCATTGTCATTTGAATGCGATAGGGTGGATTTCAGGAAAAGTGTCAAATTAGTCCTCAATTTTTGATCCGACTTCAATTTCATCATAATATATTAGGAGAGTGTCGATTCATCCTGATATTAGGCCAACTTATGTCATTAATTAGCCAATTCGGCTGTTGACTTAGTAAAAGATTGTTGGAAAATTTTAATTTTATCCTAGTACTACTTGAATAAAAATCTTTAGAACAAAGATATTAAGTGAAAAATATTAAGTGAAAAATGTTCGCTCACCAGTTACAATTTCGTCCGTTCATAGCCTTCAATCTGACGGCTTAAATCAATTTCACCGGCACGACAATTTCACCGGCACGACTTAAGTAGGGTCAAATCCGTTGATTAATAAATTGGATTTCCCCTTATTTTCCCGATTTTAAACTAAATCCCAGGACTGATAAAACGATGTCGTTTCCGTCTCGGGTGTTCAATTTTATTGCACCTCTTATCCGTTCTGTTTATTTGCTAATTTGGGTGCTCGCCCAATTCGTACCCAAATCCTGAGTTACAACCACCACCACCACCACCGTCAATATGCACTCCGTTAACTTTCCTCCACCATTTCCACATGGCTTCAGCATATCCACTGCACCAAATTTCTCTTCCAGTTGATAAATAGTTTTGCCGATTAACGCTTGAATTTTCTTCACATTTTTTAAGCAATTTTGCCCTCTGATTTGGTCATCTTTTTGGCTCTTCGCCCTTCTTCCAGATCCCCTCTCACTCTGAACCCTAATTAGAATCCTAATCAAATGTATAATTTTTGTTGAGCCATGCCAAGGCAAGGATTCCGCATCGTCATCTTCTTGGCTCTCCAACATTGTCCGTGGCCATCCCGCCAGCTTGAAAGTGGCCAAAAATTTCTGGTGGCTTAATTGATCTATTGGCTCGCTTTATATTGAGCCGTTGAAATGAAACACTTCATGGGCATATATGATTTGTTCGAGTGCTTTCAGTTTTCTGGATTTTCTTCAAGTCCACTAAAAGAGTTGTTCTTGATCCATTCAATGATCAATTCCAGAAACATTAGAGTAGTAGCTAAAAGCACTAAGGGGGAGACTGAAATGTGGTCCATTTGGAGCTTAGAATGTGACAATGGCTAAGGGGTGCTGATGCTAACATTCTCCGTGCTATTGCTGGTGCTGGTGTGCTCTCTGGTTATTGCTATTGCTGGTGTGCTTTCAGGTTCTTAATACTGGTGATTCTACTTCCCATATTTACACTGGGGTTGTAATTTTATTTCGCTTTAATTACCAATGTCAGCAAAAAGGTTTTATTGTTAAGGTAATTCCCTTAATGTGATGTGTACTTCAGGATTGAGCTCACCATGCTTGTGGATTAGTTTTGAGTTGACTTTCATAAAACACTAAGCTTTTCGCTCCTTGAACTTATCCCACTCTGTTTCATTTTTGTTTAATGATAATATGGCGATGATAATTCTTGCAGGAGTTTCAAGAGGTGCCAAAAGAATACCATTACAGATTATGTAGGCCAGCAGGACGCCAAAGTTGGGAAGCCAAAGGATATTTGTTAATTCTGACGTGCAAATGCCAAATTTTGCCTCCTATTACAGATTGCTCAAAAGGCTTCTGACCTTGGTATTTCCAGTATCATTCTTTGACAGAATTGAATGGAAGAAAAGTTAATTCTAGGGCATCTTGAATGAAAGAACATTTGGTGAGCCAATAGTGTTGAAGGAGCTTCAGAAGTGGAAATGCCTGAAGTTGAGGATTTGGTGTAACCTCTCCGTATAATAATAATGAACTTAAACTAAGGTATTACTTTTTAATTAGTTTAGTTTTTCTTTCATTCCTCAGATGTTGGACTATTTCAAGGAAATTTCTGTGTCATCTTCTTTAGCATAAGGTTAAGATATATGCTTAAATTTCTCTTTAAGCATAAACTTCGCTTAACATATTGAATCCAAAATTAAGACTAAGCAATGCGAAATGTATTTTCAGATATAATAGAGCTGAACATCAGAAAATTCAGAGTAATAAGGCATATGATTATGATTCAGAGTAATCCATGCTTAAAATTGGATTTCTGTTCTTTATGTCTATTCAAAGGATAATACTTGCTGAGTTTTGTTATATGTTCCTTCATGGATTGAACTGGGACGATGTTATCATTTTGCTGCTGAAAACATAAGCTGATATCTGTACTTTGTCATTTCTTTGTCATTTTGTTATGTTTTCATATTTGAATTTCTTCTTATTAAAGAAATGGCTTCTTCTTCTGATGTTTTTTTGTCAGTTTATTGATAGAATGCATCTTGGGCTATACTACTTGAAGTCTTAAACACTCTCTGTATTGAAATACAGGGTAAGGTTGCATACATCTTTACCTCCGAGACCCTAACCGAGTTGGGAATATGCTGGGTATGTTGTTGTTATTGATGATGATGGAATGGCTTCTTCTTGTGATTTAAGGTGTTTTAATTTACTTAGCAGAGATGGATGCAAGAGTCAAATCGATGATAAAGCTCACAGAAGAAGATGCCGAATCATTTACTAGGAGGGCAGAGATGTCTTACAAGAAACATCGAGAGATCATGAAGATGGTGGAAGAATTCTATCGTGCATACAGTGCACTGGCTGAAAGATATGATTATGCACCAGGGGTAATTCATCATGCTCACTGTACTATGGCAGAAGCATTTCCAAACCAAGTTCCCCTGATGAATGATGATTCGAAGACCGAGACACCCGATATGTGGAGCTTTTTCGAGCCTGATGACTTGCAAAATGAAACGTTGTAGCATTCAGATCCTCATTCCAATGATGCTAATAGGAATGGCTCTAAAATTGTTTAGGGGAAGGTGAGGAAGAGCCTCAAGTTTCATGAGCATGCTAGATTCTCACCAAAAACAATCCCTGGCAAACTCTTGAGTTGGATCAGCCTAAGTAGGAGATTCTCAGTTTATAGAAGGCCCTTGCTGAGCTTCAAGCAGAGAAAGAAGCCGACCTTTCTCAGTAGTAGCAGAGTTTGGAAAATTTGTCAGCAGTAGAGTCGCAAATTCCGCGTGTCCAGGAGGATTCTAAAGGACTTTCTGAACAAGCCAGCCAAGATGAAGCTGAACGAGAGGGTAACCTTTTGCAGTACTGCCACCGCTTGGAAAAGATATCTGGCCTCGAGGATTCCGTGTCTCATGCTGAAAAGGATGCTGAGGAGCTTAACCAAAGAGCTATTAAAGCTACAACGGAGCTCAATCAGTTAAAAACGAACTCCCTAAAGTATCAGCTGATAAAGATGCAGCTCTTGATCAGTATGTAAGCTCCTTGGAGTAATTGCAAACCTGGAGCATAAGTTAAAAGTGTGCTAAAGGGAATGTAGCAAAGTCTAATGAGACAGCTGAGAAAGCTGAAAATAAGTTTGAACTGCTGAAGCAATCCATTGCCAAATTGACAGAGGAGAAAGAAGCTGCAGAACTTGAGTATCACCAGTGCATGGAAACAATTTCGAGGCTAGAGGAATAACCTCTCTTTGGCTCAGGAGGAGGCACATCGGCTCAAAACTTAGATTGAGAAAGGAATCACTGATTTATAAGGCACTGAAGAGCAGCGTCTTTTGTTAGAAAGAACAAATCAATCTCTTCACTCGGAGTTAGAGGAAGATTTGTTACTGAATACAGGAACCCAAAGGCAAGAACTTACAGAAAAGCAGAAGGAACTTGGAAGGGTGTGGACTTGTATATAGGAAGAGCGATTGCATTTTGTGGGGGCTGAAATGGCATTCCAAACTTTGCAGCATTTGCATACTCAAGCAAGCTCAGGAAGAACTGAGATCTTTGGCCTTCGAGTTGCAGAATAAGCTTCAAACAGTAGCAGAAACAAAAAATGCTCGAAAATTACCGGCCAAGAAAGGATTATAGCAACATCACTTGGAAAGAATCATTCTGTGAAGCCTTTCTCTACTTTCACTCCATTAAATTAAGAACTCAATGAATTATCCCTTCAAATCATGTGCAAAATCAGTATAGGACCGGTTAAAATTTTGTTCCTAACAATAAATATAGAAAATGAATGTGAGATTCTTGAAACATTTTACTGGCCTAATCCTTGATTTGCGTTTGATTTCTCATTTCGTTAGTTTGTTCATTCCAATGTCCTTTTACATTCTTCAGAAAGAATTTTGGACACTCAAGAATTTGGATGTTGTAATAATTAAAAAATGATGATGATGATGATGCGATAAGCCTGTGAATTTCGATATATCCAGCGCTGGCTTCTGAAAAAAAATAGAAAAATCAGTTGATACCAGACCTTTAGGGACCAAGTCACCACGGTATCTTGAGGCACCGATGGAGAGATATTCCTTATCATTGCTTTTGGGATCCTCTACTCCAAGCCTATTTTTAATAAGTTTCTAGCAGATAGGAATCGTACGTAGACCACGATACGAATTTTTCACCGGATGGATTTTGTAGTAGTATATTATAGTACTACCTCCGTCCCCCAAAAAAAAAAGATTTCACATTAAGTTTTCAAATTTATACAAAAAACAATACAAAACTTAAAAAATTCAATGTGGACTATTTTTGTGGGACGGATGAGGGTAACATATTGTATGATTAGTTTTGCGGCATCATGACTTTTATAACGATTTCAATGTTGCTAAAGAGATTTGATAGTTTGAAATAAATCCAACTGAGAAGTGTCTTGGAAGAAAATGATGTATAATTAGGCTCTTTATCTTACCATCATTTTTAGTCTTTCTGCAGTAATGCTCAATCTTTATAATCATACATGTCGCGTATGAATTTACTACATCCATTTTGTGAGTCACTACCTAATCTTGGTAATTTTGTGTTTTTATTTTGACTCGTGTTAAAGAATGTGTGATTATTCTGAATTTGATAAAAATAAAAATACTTTACGTCTCAAATTAAGTTTATGCCAGAAATTTCATTCTTCAAACTGTATTTCTTTTTATTAATTTTTGACGTTCTGGGTTAGGCATTAAAGAAAAGTGTTTCCATTTCATCAATTGCATTAATAATCAGATATCATGTACTGGTTCAGTTGCAATACTTAGCACAATAATCTTTCAATTTATGGGGTCCTAAATCATTATTCCCGTTGATATTTTACCAAATTAATTATAACATCTTTTTGTACATTAGTCATATAATCATCGCTTTCTGTTGTAATTTGTTACACATTTTGGCTTTCTTTTTTCTTTTGCTATCGAGTTTTTAAGTCATCTCTGTAAGATTTTAATGTTAATATATTTATTTTTGCAGAATAAAAAGAAAAACAAAATCAACTATTACTTCTTTCAAAAACTATTAGGGATGCAGTTGAACGTGAGACCAAAATTCAACCTACAATGTAACAACTCATTACGTCCGAAACATTATTGGTAAAATTATATGTGCCTTGTTCTTTTTTTATAATAAACTATTTAAAATAAAGTTACTCAATATATATCCTCTAAACTTGTCTATTTATATAGTAATTCAATCCTTTAACATATAATTCAATAAAAAATAAAATTTATTTTAACACTCATGAGCTATTAGGCGTGAAGATAACTATTTTAACCATACATTGACTGTAACAAATTTTTTCAAATAAGAACAAAGAAATATTATTCGAAAAAGTACTGATCGCGTAACGCGCGATCCGAATAGCACTAGTTATTTGTAAACTTAGAACTAAATTGCTTTTTTAATTAATTAACTATTTTTTAATTTTTCAATTAATTAACTTAATTTTCTACTAGCTTAATAAGTCATATTCGACAAACTTTAATTTTATGCTAGATTAAGTAATGGAATTAATTTTTTTACTTATTTAATTAACTTAAAATTGGATCAAAGTGTATCGACATAAACGGGCAGTCAAAACTCAGTAGGGTATTTAAATTTGTTATGCATTTGTTTGCTTAAATTACGTATATTGAAATGCGTACTTAATAATGCATTTGTTTGTTTGAAACTTGTTATGATTATGTTCCGTTTAGAATACCTTAGAAGAAAACTCATGGAAAAAATAATAATAATAATCAAACAAAAATTGCAAATATATGAACATACATAATTACCCCTTGTTACATGAAATCGTTATGGTGGCTATTTCATTGCACTATTATTTTCAATATCTCTATCGTTGTTGTGTATGTAAATACATAATTACCTATTGTTATGTTGTCAGTTATATATCATTTTCCTTTTCATCATTCACTATTCATTTTGGATAATGATTTTGCTATGGAAATTTCACTGAAAATGAATCATAACTGTCCGTACTTACATATTACTTTAATAGATTTATTTATTAAAAGTTAGAGTATAATTAAGATTTAACTACATCCAGTGACATTACATGCAAAGAAAATTTGACATGAAAAACTATAAAGAATGAGGTGGCTCAAATATTAACTATTCCCGAATCCGTAAATAGATAAACCTCTGAAGAAAAGGTATACCTGTAGACGGATATGATAAAATTCCCGTACACGAATCATTACCCTTTTCCAATCTGAAAATAAAATCGATTACTCGGATTGGGAAACAGCAGATGATAATATTGAGTTGGGCCTAAAAAATAACCCGGAAAAAATAAACTTGCTTCCGGCGCAGATAAATAAAAAAGCAGTGAACCGCATCCGGATGATAAATTGGATTGGGCCTAAAAGTAACCCATAAAAAAATCAACTTGCTTCAGGCCCAAATAAATAAAACGCAGTGAGCCCCATATATCAATCAATCCATCAAGTAGGGTTTTTAAGGTTTTGCTTTGCCCTTCATAACTACAAAGAGAAGGCCGTCAAGACTTATTTCTCAGCACGGCAGCAGCAGAGGAAAAGGGGTATTCACCGGCGGTTTCGGCTTAATCCGCCGTAAGATTCTGTTTGCGGCTTTCATTTCTATCCCTTTAATCCTCCTTTTATTCGATACCGATGTTGCTTTTTAGCTTTGGTTGTTTATAAGATGTGGGGAAACTTTTCATTTGGTTATTTGTTCCATTATTCAATGTATCTATGATTGGAATCGGATCGTTCTTTTTATGACCACATCTGAAGTTGGAATGAATTTTTAGGGCATCGTTACATTTTCGGTGGGTTTTTTTTTGGTGTGCTTTTAATTAGTAGACATATGAATCTGGTTATGTAGTTTCTTTATAACTAATGGAGTACTACTTAGGGCGAAGTTTTGAATTTTGCTCGAGATCATGTACATTTCTAGTTCAATAATGGGAAATAATATCGTTGTATAATTTTTAGATGAACCCTCTTTAATATTGTAATTTACATAAGAACTAAGTTGTTGCTATCTGATAATTGGAGTTTAGCTTGTTCATGTTTGTGGCTTGGTATTGGTGAACCCCTGTATAGTGTTTCTGAAGCTGATATTACCTGATATTACCTGTTTCTGAAGCTGTATTGTTTGGTTTTACTGGGAGTTGCTGAAACCTTTTTGTTTGCTGTATATTTTCTTTTGCAGCTTGCATTTGTAACAATGGTGAGAGTTTCTGTCTTGAATGATGCTCTCAAAAGCATGTACAATGCTGAAAAGAGAGGAAAGCGACAAGTGATGATCAGGCCATCTTCAAAGGTCATCATCAAGTTCCTCTTGGTCATGCAGAAGCATGGTTTGTTTTCTTCGCTGACTTTTCATCTTGCTTCAGTCTTATTTAGTAGGCTCTCAAATTAATTCTTGCTTATATATGTTGTTTGTTGGTTGTAGGATACATTGGTGAATTTGAGTATGTTGATGACCACAGATCTGGAAAGATTGTGGTGGAGTTGAATGGTAGGCTCAACAAATGCGGAGTCATTAGCCCACGTTTTGATGTTGCTGTCAAGGACATCGAGTCTTGGACTGCCAGATTGCTCCCATCTAGACAGGTTAATACTCAAACTTCTTCCTAAATCGGTTGACCCTCAGAGGAGAATTAACTGCCCTTTAGCCAAAGTTTTCAATGTTTGTGGAAGTACAGAGCTAGTGAGAGAGTGAAGAACAATTTCTTTTCCCCTCAAGTGGATCAATCTAACTTTTTATGGTTTGTATGAACTTGCAGTTTGGCTACATTGTGTTGACAACCTCGGCTGGAATTATGGATCATGAAGAAGCTAGAAGGAAAAATGCTGGTGGTAAAGTACTTGGCTTCTTCTACTAGATGAAACAGACCTGACTACTTTTGGGGATATTTGTTCTCGGACTTTAGAATTACATTTCTGCTGCTGATAGGAAGTTTTGCGGGCTTTGTTGTGCAGAAAAGTAGCTATATGTGTTTCTTGTACTGGTTTACTGCTTCACATTTCCAGATTGCCAATTACTTATAAGTTTTGTTGCTGTGTTGACATTTTATGATGGTGTGATGGATAACACATCTTATGGTGTGATGGATAATCTTCATATTTAGACCGTATTTTAGCAGTTTATTTCAAACTTACTGCTTTTACTGGGAGAAAGTGCTTTGTTATGCCGAATGTGTACCCGCTGGCCATTTCCTCAAAGTGCAAATTTTAGAATTATAGATCATAATCAAACAAATTCGAAGCATTAAAGTATATATAAACAATTGAACAACAGATTAATGCTGAAATCTAGCCACTTTGATAAGATCGAATCCGGTGTTTGCGTATTCCTTAGGGAGGAGAATAACGTAGTGATTGATGAGTATCTGTAACACCGCTATTTTCGCTTGTTACTGATAACCTGTTTCGGCACACTGGACAAGAGTTGTGAAGCCTCAACCAAGGTACAATACAATCAGAATGGTAACAATGCTTGCAATGCAGTTCCCTAGCTTCATAACCTCAAACGTCTCTTTACAAACTGCGGATTCCAGATCATTATCGAAATGACTGAATGAAAAGGTGTTAATCTCCAGGTTGGGATAGTATCGATGATTGAATCAGGTGGAGGTGGAGGTCCAGGACGATCATTATTTATTTATTTATATATTGGGGAAGCCGAAATTTAGTTACAAAAACAATTCATCGAGGGAGAGTTGAGGTCTGAAAATCTAGCGCCATTTTCTCGGAGACGATCATTTTGAGTGAGCTGCTCTATAAGTTCAGGAAATCCAGGACCTGTAAAGTATTCCCTTGGATTCACGCCATTTGCGATCAAACCTTCTTCATCGCCCGAATTTAGGGATCTTCGAGCTGGGATTGGTCCAGAAGGTCTGAAGCTGATCCATGATCCTGGACGGGCTAAAATCCCAAATGCCTGATAAGAAATCTAGTGTGTATCTAATAACTGAAAGCAAATCTAGTGCCTGATAATTATCAATTTTAGTTCATTTTTGCTTTCTGAAGCAAAAATGAACTAAAATTGATAATTAGAAATCTAAACCTTATGATCATTTACAGTAATAGAGCTCAGCAGAACAGAAAGAGAGCTCCTTATCAGTAGAGAGAAACTGCATTCCGAAATTGGACCAAAACATGATTCAAGCAGTATAGATTAGTAGTCAATCGTGACGAAACCAAATCATAGGACAGCCAATAATGTTGGAATTCTACTTCAAGAACAGTGGACAACAATAGCTGCACTAGATCAAATAATAAGAGGAAGAATTTATCGTTATGATAAAAGAAAGTTTTGTTTCCAAGTCACAAATAAACTTGCTTTCTTTTAGGTTAAATTCGCCTACTATACAGTGCAATTGTTTAGGCGAATTTTCTATGAGATAAAATGGAGATCATGTTATTTCACTATGCACATTAGTGAACCAACAACCTGATACAATGATAAGAAATGTCATTGGAAATATTCCAAGTATTTGGTGATTTTATTGTACACTAAAAGCATCCAAATGATCTATATTTATAGAGTTAGAGGAAACTCTTGAGGATTAGACGTAACCCTTGGTTATGGTCCTAGACATAACTTTTCGTTAACGTCTTTTCATATGGAGTTCATAGGCACAACCTATTAGTTGTGCCTCTACAATATATTGAAAACACCGGCACAACATATTAATTGTGTTCCTACAATATATTGAAAATAATTTTTAAATAGATCCAGAATAATTCCAGCAAAACTCATGAATAAAATAATAGTGTCGTTAGACTTGAACCACTACCTTAGTGTCGGTTTCATAACTTGTAGTACAACCCCGTAGACTAGCTTTGAACCGTGCGTACATGTTACAAGCCAGATTGTCAAAAGACATAGATTTCTTTCTCCTCAACTTGCCTGCACCTTACCAGTGCGTATAGTATGTAAGGTCTTGTACCCCATATCTATTAATGAATATTAACAAAACCAAATCCTAAGTTTTGTGGATGCCCAGTCCGAATTCATATAGGCAAACTTCTTAATGCCCCCGCCATTTTGGCATTTACAAGAGTTTGTTAAGAGCCAATTCTCAACCGGATACCCAGCGGGAATTATATAGCACTAGCTACTTTGGAATAAATATTGTAGTGCTCAATTACTTGTATATTGTGCTATCGCTATTGAATTCAAGACTAGATCATTTACTAGCGTTGAATTGAGGTTCCAATACAAGCAATCATTTCTGAACTTTAAACATATCCCTTTAACTCATTCAGTCTTTAGACCAAATGTCTTTCAAAATTTAGTCCTTACTTATGAGTTTCTTAACTCAAATTTTAAGGATCATCTCTTTACACGAGTCTATTGATTCAAATCTTGTCAAGAATTTTAATTCTTAACCTGAGTTCATTAACTGATCTTGTGATCATAATTTAAATAATAATACATGCAAACTGTTAATTAATATGATTATATTTAGGAAATTGAAGAACCAGTTTGTTCTTTCAAATTTTGCAAACAACCCAACAATGAGATCATCTTCCCTAATATGAAGTTTTGAAATCACCATGTCACAATTTCTTTCTTCATATTCCTGAAAAAATTAGCTCCATTTCTCTTGTAACAAGAATACACTTGAGCTCTTAGTGCCATTCTTTGTTACAATATGGTAACTTTCCTAATACCTTATTCACTCTTGACTTCAAACATAGACTTCATGTTTTGTCCATTTTCTACAACGTGGACTTAGGTCGAGGATCATTCTCCTTTTCCTTCAACTTTAATTAAGAATTCGTTTATTTTCTTTAAACTCTCTCATTCTATATGAAGAGTTCCAAGTTTTCTAAACATATGATCTCCCTTTTCTTTGAGATTTCATGAAAACTTTAAAAGTATTGACATAAACAACGTAAACATACAGTAAGACAAGAATTTCAAATCATATATTAACACATATGAATAAATTCATAACTATATCACTATTGTCATACTATGATAAACACAAATAAGTGTAACATCAATTTAAATAAAACTATTAACGCACATAATTAGCTTTAGTTATTACTTATCAAGTAAGTTTGCAGATGTCCAATTTGAGCAAGTGTTGGTATTATAGCAACAAGAGATTTTGTTACTAAGTTTCAAATCTTGTTCCCATAACAAGATATATACCACTAATCAAGAACTTGACCTTTTTTGTTATTTGCTTCTTAAGTCTCAATGACTTGAGCATTGATCTTAGTTCAAGTTGTCTCTTTTCAGTTCTAGTCATTATCAACATTAAGGTGCATGTTTCTTCATTGAAGATAGCATCTATTGAAACTAATAGACCAAATTATTATGTGCATATTCAGCGAAAATACACGAAACACCTCTTTCTCCCAACTTCCTTGTATTAGATTATGGGATCTTGACTCTAGACTTGTCACCATCCCTCTTTCTCCGCACAAGAAGACCCAGGACAACCAAACACCTTAACCCGGGAAAAGCACACAGCAAGACCCGGCAATCAGAGTGCCCGGAACAAGCAACCAGCTTGACCGAGAAACGTAGCAAACTCGGGGCAGACAACCGGCTTTACCGAGAAAAGCAGCAAGGTCCCGGCACAAGCACTCAGCTAACCGAGAAATGCAGCAAAACTCGGGTAAGCACGCACCTTATTGAGGAATGCAGGGAAACGTTAACCGGCAACCGAACGGGACCGAAAAAACTCGGTAAACTCGGGACAGCCCGGCTACCCGAGAAAACCAGGGGACGTGACCGAGAAAACTAGCAAGGTCCCATCATATGATTTTCACGCCCGGGCCGGTGCTGCCATTCGAAATCATGTGAGGCTGAAGCCGGGCGTGCAGACGGGCGGATGTGAGTTCTTGCCCAAGGCACTTGAGTAGTGCAACGGCCCTTATGCAGGAATGCGAGATAATCATGCGAGACGGTTAAGTGGGAACCCGAGCTGAGATAAACAACATTGCAGCACGGCCCCCGGGTGCAACCCGGAGACGAGGTTTGCAGGAAGTAGCTGGGAGCTTCTAGAGCCGCGGGACCCGTTTGGTGGACCCGTTTGGTACACTGTGGACAAATGCATGTCAGCCAAGGTGTAGGCTTGCATGTTAGAGCTGCTGCCAAGATGTGCCAATGTATGTTGTAGCTTTGTAGACCAATGCATGTAGGTCATTTGTTGTAATGCATGTAAGGGTATTTCCTCCCCATTCTTGTATAAATACGGGGCCTTGGCTCATTTGAAGGATAGAGAGTGGAGTTGTAAGCCTTCTTGAGTTTAAGAGCCTTTCCTTGTGTTTGAGTAATAATACAAGGTTGAGCCGGGTTTCGGCTTGTATTTTTCGAGTCCCTTTTATTTCCGTTTCTCCCTTGTTTTCTCGGTCAAGTCCCCTGGTTGCTTGTTCCGGGCACTCTGATTGCCGGGTCTTGCTGTGTGCTTTTCCCGGGTTAAGGTGTTTGGTTGTCCTGGGTCTTCTTGTGCGGAGAAAGAGGGCCGGTGACAATTCTGGTATCAGAGCCCCAGGTTCGTGGGGCTTGAGCTGCCGGTTGTTGGTTGTTGGTTTGCGGATTGAAGGATGGCGCACGGTACACGGTTGAACGCCTTGGAGGCGACCGTTGAGAAGATACAGCGCATCCTTGGGACGGATGACGACCAAGTGAGTTTCTTTGAACGGGTTAGTGACCTTGCAGACCGCGTGGAAGCCTTAGAGAGACGGGCTAGCGGTGAAGGCACGCCGTCCTCCGGGTTGGGAAGAGACGATGCCTTAGAATCAGTTAAACAGGACGTGCTCATCCTCAAGAGAACAATAGAGGAGTGTAGCACACGGTTGGAACGGGAAGAGGGCCGGTGACAATTCTGGTATCAGAGCCCCAGGTTCGTGGGGCTTGAGCTGCCGGTTGTTGATTGTTGGTTCCTGGATTGATGGATGGCGCACGGTGCACGGTTGAACGCCTTGGAGGCGACCGTTGAGAAGATACAGCGCATCCTTGGGACGGATGACGACCAAGTGAGTTTCTTTGAACGGGTTAGTGACCTTGCAGACCGCGTGGAAGCCTTAGAGAGACGGGCTAGCGGTGAAGACATGTCGTCCTCTGGGTTGGGAAGAGACGATGCCTTAGAATCAGTTAAACAGGACGTGCTCATCCTCAAGAGAACAATAGAGGAGTCTAGCACACGGCTGGAATGGGAAGAGGACCAGAGAACGGTGGAGTCACTGGTTCAAGATGTGGCGTTGCTAAAACGGGCACTAGCAAGTGGCATGCCCGTGGGTGAAGAACCTGCCCCTAAAGTACTGTTGCCTTCAACATATGATGGGAAACGGGAGGCCAAAGAGTTGGAGAACTGGCTGTGGGATATGGAGCAGTATTTCACGATGGCTAAGGTGCAACTCCAAAATCAGGTGAACTTCGTTCTCTCTTACTTGCAAGGAGATGCAAAACTTTGGTGGCGGACCCGAAAGAACGACGCTGACGCACCCAGGATCGAGACGTGGGAGGACATGAAGAAAGCAATGAAGTTGCAGTTCCTCCCTACAAATACCGTTTGGGAGGCTAGAGAAGCCCTAAGACGGTTGAAGCAAACGGGTCGCGTGCGGGACTATGTGAAAGAGTTCACGTCCCTGATGCTTGAGGTAACCGATATGTCTGAGGCTGATAAGCTTTTTAATTTCATGTCGGGTTTACAGAGCTGGGCTAGAACGGAGCTGAATCGGCAAGGGGTGCAAGCTTTGCCCCAAGCGATTGCAGCTGCCGAGAAGCTGGTTGAGTACAAGTCGGGTTCGAATGCCAGTGAAGCAAAGAAAGGACAGAAGGATAATAGATCTAAGGACCGTGGGAAGGCTAACAAGCAAGCTGCCAAGAAGACCGATGTCGGTAAGTCTTCTTCCTCGAATGAGCAGCAAAAGAAGAGAACCGGTTGCTTCAAATGCGACGGGCCGCATATGGCACGGGACTGCCCCTACCGGGAGAAGATCAATGCTATCGTCTTAGGGGAAGCTGAGGAAACGGTCCCGCCCCGGTTGAACCCCATGAAATTACTAAATGCAATCACAACGGTACGGTCCCCGTCCCTTGAAAATTCATTAATGTATATGAAGTCTTTGGTTAATGGCATAGAGGATACGGTCATGGTGGATTGTGGAGCCACACACAGCTTCATAGCCGATGAGGAGGCTAAGCGGTTGAAGCTTAAGTTGCTGCCCAACGATAGCCGGATTAGAAACGTGAATTCAGACGCGGAGGTGGTCGGTAAATGCACGGTTGATGTGTCCGTGGAGGCCTGGAAAGGATCGTGTGAGTTGATGTCAGTCCAGAAGCTGGGAGACTTCAAAATAATCCTTGGTAAGGATTTCTTATACAAACATAAGGCTTTCCCTATTCCACACTTGGATGGTGTCATGTTTGCAGATGAGAGATGCCCTATGTTTGTGCGTTGCACCCAAGTGGAGGAGAGCCGGAGGGTTGATAAAGGCAAGGGTATCCTTTTAGCTATTCAGCTGGAAAACGGGTTGAAACACGGTGAGCCAACGTTCCCCACCCGTTTCATCACTTCAAACGGGCCATCGTACTTAGGCACCAGCCCTCGATGCACTGTTTTGCTGGAAATCTTCTTCCAAATCTGTGGAGTTAACTTGAGCATCACCAAGTCCCCCACCTTGAACTCAACATCTCGTCTATGCCGGTCAGCATACCGTTTCATCTTTTGCTGGGCAATGGCTAGGCTATCTCGTGCCTCTTCATGCATCTCTTGCTGCAACCGTTGCCTATACCGGTGAGACCATGGCAGTCGGTGTCCCTTGATTTCATCAGCGGCTTCCCTAAGATCAACGGTTTTGCTTCTATCCTTGTTGTTGTTGACCGTTTTTCTAAATACGCCGTGTTTATTACTGCCCCAGCTGCTTGTTCTGCTGACATTGCTACCGAGTTATTCTTCAAGAACGTAGTGAAGTATTTCGGTCTACCTGAGGATATAGTCAGCGACCGGGATGCCTGTTTCACGGGCCGGTTTTGGACACAGCTTTTCAATGCCATGGGCACGCAGTTGAAGTTTTCAACGGCCAATCATCCACTGACGGACGGCCAAACAGAGCGAGTGAATGCCGTTTTAGAGGAATACCTACGGCATTATGTCACGGCAAGTCAAAAGAATTGGCCTGATTTACTTGATGTTGCCCAATTCTGCTATAACCTTCACAGGTCGTCGGCCACGAAGTTGAGCCTGTTCGAGTTGGTGAACGGGGAGCAGCCGATGACGCCCCATGAGGTAGCCGTGAAGGCTGTTGCCGGTTCTTTGCACCCAGGGGCCGTGCTGCAATGTTGTTTATCTCAGCTCGGGTTCCCACTTAACCGTCTCGCATGATTATCCCGCATTCCCGCATAAGGGCCGTTGCACTACTCAAGTGCCTTGGGCAGGAACTCACATCCGCCCGTCTGCACGCCCGGCCTCAGCCTCTAAGGCGTGTGTTACCGAGAAAAATTTTTAAGGGGCTAACAGACCTCCCCCACTTGAGAGGTTGACGCCCTCGTCAACTGCTTGGCCCGGTCCCAATATTCGGCAATTTCTTTCTCAAACTGCCACAAGTCGTTCTCATCGACCCACTCGGCATCGGCTGGAGACTCGTCCTTCCAATGCACCAGGAACCGTGTCCTTCTCACCTTCTTGCTCTGCCCGATCGTCTCATGATCAAGGACTTTGTGGATTTTCTTCTCAAATTGTTTCCTCACAACCGGGGGTGCCCTCTTTTGCTTGCACCCGTTCTTCCCCTGTCTCATCGGCATTATATTGTTTGAGGAAACTAACATGAAAAGTTAGGTGTACCTTCAACCGTGGCGGCAGCTTCAACCGGTAAGCCACGTTCCCCACCCGTTTCATCACTTCAAACGGGCCATCGTACTTAGGGACCAGCCCTCGATGCACCGTTTTGCTGGAAATCTTCTTCCAAATCTGTGGAGTTAACTTGAGCATCACCAAGTCCCCCACCTTGAACTCAACATCTCGTCTATGCCGGCCAGCATACCGTTTCATCTTTTGTTGGGCAATGGCTAGGCTATCTCATGCCTCTTCAAGCATCTCTTGCTTCACCCTTGCAAACCGGTGTGCTGCAGGACAAGAACCGGCAACGGCCTTCACTGCTACCTCATGGGGTGTCATCGGCTGCTCCCTGTTCACCAACTCGAACGGGCTCAACTTCGTGGCCGACGACCTGTGAAGGTTATAGCAGAATTGGGCAACATCAAGTAAATCAGGCCAATTCTTTTGACTTGCCGTGACATAATGCCGTAGGTACTCCTCCAAAACGGCATTCACTCGCTCTGTTTGGCCATCCGTCTGTGGATGATTGGCCGTTGAAAACTTCAACTGCGTGCCCATGGCATTGAAAAGCTGTGTCCCAAACCGGCCCGTGAAACGGGCATCCCGTCATTTATATCAAAACATATAATGACCCATTTATCATTTGAATGTTTGTTCAACATGCACTTGTTTGATTCATATATATTGAATCAACACTACTTGTTTTCACATCAAAAGATAATTTCAAAAATTAGAACATCCATGTACAACACATAAAATATTATCATTCATATTTAATAATGATAACTTATCATATTCATAATGTATGTTGATATCATAATATATCATATACAAACCACATATCATGTGATTCTACACAAATAAGACACAAGTTTAACTACTATCCTTTTATTAACAACCTTTGGTTTTGTACTTCTTAAATGACTAGATATAACGTTTCATATATATATATATATATATATATATATTCTTTTCATTCACACCCTTTGGTTTCACTTTACCTTTTGGATGACTTGACACGATTTTGACTCGTGTTTTTTCAAGTAAAAATACCAGACATCACTTTATGTTGATGCCTTATACTTGTCACGATTAGACACAAATTTAAGTTTGTGTCATTTCGCCGTGAGTTTCTAGACACAATTCTTTATTGTTGTCTTCTCATTTAGACTCTCTACAGATACTATTTGGTGTATCTCTTCATCCAAAACTTTAAGAGAAACATCAATTCATGAATGAAAGACATTTTGTGTTACTTCATGAAACTTATACATCATGGTAAGAATTACTCTAATTTCAGACTTTATGCAACATATTCAATTTACTTATGAATAAAGCATTACTGGCACAAACAAAACAATAAAGTCTTAAATTGTTTTATCATTTTCAAAGTACAAAGATCACTTTATACTATGCATCGCATGAATTTAATTACCATTTAATCCCGAATTCATTTCAATATTTAATTATTCATTGTGTAACAAACATAAACACACCAAACGAACACTCTATTGGGATCAAAGTTCTTAATTTTATTGACCCAAGATCAAACAATTAATATGTGAGGCACTCATAAAAATTCTGCACACAAGAATTTATTTTATTTTATTTTGTTTTTCTTAGGTTTCGGTCGTTGACTTTTCTGTCGACTTTATCCAGGCGACGACTAAGTCAACGAGGCCAAACAACCAAACACTTTAATGGATGTTGACTTTTCTGTCAACTTTAATTCTATGGACGAACGAGTCAACAAAACCAAGTAATCAGACATATCAACGAACGACAACTTTTATGTCAACTTTACTCTGGTCGACCAACAAGTTGACAAAGCCAAACAAGACACAGAATAAATTCCAACAGATGTCGACTTTATAAAAAATTTATAACATGCAATCAAAGCACTATTCCTATATCAAATGCCAATTTTGTATTTCAATTTCTAAGCATGATAAAAACATGACCAAATTCTCTATCAAACCTTTTATAACATATATTTTCTTAATTAGTCATCACATTAATTAAGTATTTATTCTGATGGAAACCACACATTTGGGCAATCAGCAAATAATACATAGTAAATTTCTTTTACATGTAAAAGTTCATGAATTCTACAACCATGTTTCACTCAGGCATAGATCTCATTACTACATTCATGTATTTATTAAATACATACATACCTTGAACTTGGAATGTCGCAATTCACAAGTAAAATATAATTCTTACTTTGATGACGAGGTCCATTGTATCCTATCATTGTCCTTTCCATTGAATTCAATGATCTGCAACATTTCTCCCATTTTTGTGTGCAACGAAAATATCCTTCCTTGATTCTTCAAGTACTAACCATTGTTTAATCGAAAATTTAGCCTAAAGATTGTTGGCATTTGACCTCAAAAATAGTGGACAACAATGGCTGTACTAGATCAAAGAATAAGAGGAAGCATTTATCGTTATGATAAAAGAAAGATTTGTCTCCAAGTTACAAGTAAACTTACTTTCTTTTAGGCAAAATTCATCCACTATATGCAATTGTTTAGGTGAATTCTCTATGAGATAAAGTGGAGATCATGTTGTTTCACTAACACTTTAGTGAATCAACAACCTGATACAAGGATAATAAATGTCATTGAAAATATTCCAAGTATTAGGTGATTTCACTGTACACTAAAAGCATCCAAATGATACATATTTTTAGAGTTAGAGGAAACTCTTGAGGATCAAACGTAACCCTTGGTTACGGTCCTAGACATAACTTTTCGTTAATGTCTTTTCATATGGAGTCCATAGGCACAACCTATTAGTTGTGTCTTTACAATGTATTGAAAACACTCAATATACACAATATATTAAATGTGTCCCTACAATATATTGAAAATAACTCTAACAAATAAGTAACCAAAATCAAAACGAAAGGAATTTTGATCTTTTAACGGTCACGCCGGGACTCCGGTACGGAACTGCCAAGTGGCGGTTTGATTCTTGAAAAGGGGAATGTAACTGTTACTGCAATCAAATGGAGGAGAGATAGCAAAAGGGATTGGAAGAACTTTGGAGATTCAGAATTTTCGAATAAACAGAGGCAAAATGCAGAATATTCCCGAATTGGCTTACAATTGTTACAAAATATAAAATTCTTCTGATAATTATACTCCCACATTCTTGCAAAAATAGTCTAAAACTTACAAAATTATTAAAATTTATAGCAAATTGGATAGGTAATCTTCCGAATATAAAAAATCAATATGAAAATTGAATTAAAAAATCATAAATAATTTAGATTATTTTCTAGTGGAAAGTAATATTAATTTTGTATTATTTCAAGAATGATCTACCGCACTCACTCATTTTTAAGTTCGAAACTCTAAACTAAACATGAATGAACGAAATGGTAATTGAGATTTGAGATGCTTTAGAACCTAAGAACGGGTAAAAGACGGATCATTTTAAAACATCGAGACACTTGATAGTTTCATTGTCATTTTCAAAAGAGTTTAATGAATGAAAAGTAAGTACAGATTGTTGGCATGTTTAGTACTAATTAAAAATCTACACAATATATGATTAATTGTTACCAAAAAAGCAGATTTTCATAATCACTTATACAAATCAATATTTGGTAAATTATTCAAATTAAAAAAATTCTAATTAAAACCATTTGAACTCTAATTAATAAACAGAGAATTTAGTTGCAAAACAACAACAATGATAAAGGGAAATTAGAAGGGGTAAAAGCGTATGTTTAAATAGTGGTAGAAATACAAATTTATTTTAAAATAGTGCAACAACTAATAATTTAAGAGACTGTTGTTTCCAAAAGAATACAATGAAAGAAAATCGTTGACATATCAAAATTCAGTAATCAGACATTGACACAATATCATGATCATTGGTTACCAAATATAGATTTTTAGAATCGCTTATAGAACTCGATATTTGGTAAATTGTTCAAGTTGAAAAAGAGAATCTAATTTAAGTCACCTAAATTCTAATTAATAAACGGAATTTTTTTTTTAACAAAAATAGCAACAACAATGATAAAGAGGAATTAGAACAGCGAACAACGAACTTATTTTAAAACACCACGACACCTGATTGTTTTAGAGACTGTCGGTTTCAAAAGAGTTTAATAAATAAAAAAAATAGTTATGGATCGTTGGCAAATTAAAATTAATAATTAAACACCGACACAATATCATGATTAGCAGTTACCAAAAGCAGATTTCTAAAAATACTTATATAACTCGATATTTGGTAAATTGTTCAAGGCTTTAAAAAATCTAATTAAAACCATCCAAACTCTAATTAATAAACGGAGAATTTATTTGCAAAAAATAGCAACAACAACGATAAAAGAGAAATTTATCAAGCAATAATATTGTATTAATTTCAAATAACAATTATCACAGTTCTAAACCTCCAAGTGAACACATTATATAATAGATAGCGAACAATATATATGTATGCGTGTCACATTAATTACTATCTCATTTTACTATTCATTTTCACTATATGTATCATTTTCTTAGCGAAATATGATATCTAACTATCATGTTCTAGTTACATTTAAAAACTTTTAGTTACAACATTTTCTTTTTCTTATAACTCTTCAACGAAATAGTTAATTAAAAAAATCTAAAAAAATAACTTGAATTAATGTTGGAGATCAAGTTGTGACCTAGAATGAACTAAGATGATAGTTCGCCTCCAGCACTCTTATTTAGACAATCTTAATCCATGAAATTTTTATACAATACTCTCTCGGTCCCAAAACCAATAAAATAAAATAAAATAAAAATAAAAATAAAATAAAAATAATTTACTTTGTCATATTCAAAAACTCCTACCAAAACAATGCAGCCTAAGAACAAGAAAAGCATTTTATCGTTCAAATTTTCGTCATCAAAATTTGCATCAAGTACATGTATGATTTTGATACCAAAACCAGAAAATCAAAGAATCAGGAAAAATTGTAGCTCACTATTCACAAAACAATGTAAACGGAATTACAGTAATATATTACATGATCTTTTTTTTTTTACAGTGTGGCTAGTAAGATGATAAAACCCTGTACACTTTCTGCACAAAGTGATAGTTAGATCTTATGAACTTTCTACATCTCAATTCTTTTGTTACAGTAGTTTCCGAAATTGCCAGCCATGTAGCATGTCACCCCTGAAGATTAAGCTCATGGTACGCGTTCCAACACTCGTTGCAATGCCCTTTTAATGCCTTCTTGATCAAGGGATGTTGTCAGTAGTATTTCCTGTACCTGAAAGACAGGATACCTGTTCTGAGCAAAAGCAAAGGTAAAGTAAAGGCGGGTAGGTAGTCAGAACGTACCTGTCTCCCAGCTCGAGCGAGGAGAGTGAATTGATTGCCAACGGGAGGAACCTGTTGGAAGATGGGAGTTACAACAAGTACGAGAAATGGACAATTATTAATGATGTATAAGGTCTCACGCAGTCAGACTTACATTTGAAAGCCATAGCTGCAAATCTTGCGACACTACCCGTCTCTCAAATCCTTGCCGGCTTATTTTCACATCATTAATGCTGGGGAAATAATAAAATACAGAAAGTAAAAACATCCTCAATGCAGAGGTATAAATTTTTTTAGTATTTCTGCTATTATAAACCATATATTTGTATTTCTGAGGTGGTATGCAGTGACTTGAATCCAGTTCCGCTATTTTTATTTATCTGATGCCAAATAACCCCATGGTATGTCGCATGTGCACTTAGTTGAGCAACTATATTAGCTCACAAGTTTAACGCAAAGTGCTTAACCACAAACCTCACCAGGTTGTAAAGTTTAAGTGACAAAAACATGGAGAAATGCAATTTACTGGCATTGTTCAATGAATAAAGACAGAACAAAATGGGTTTCATACCCGTCTTCCCTCAGCAACTCTTGAACTATCATTTCCAGACCAGGAAGAGGTTCAATATCATAGCTATTGTCTTCGTCATTTTGACTGATTGAAGCATCCTGTGTAACAAGAACAAATATTGAAACCGCGAGCTCAAGATAATATGGAGATCAAAAGCAGATACCAGTAGAGGTTTAAATCAAGAAGCTATGACATATAAATTGAGAGTTTGATGAATTCCACCCACAACACGCAATCAGTCGAACCCCAAGTCACCAAAACCAACTGTTTCATATAGAGAAGATCATACAACATAATTGGGCAATGATAAGGGCTAGGACCAAAAGAACGATATGGCCCCAGAAAGTTCTCCTTACTTTAGGAGATAACCCTTCAAAATTTTGGCTGTAGGTTTTAGGTTGTACTGATCTAATCACAAGTTGATTCTAAATCTGAACTCCTTGGAAGCAATCATTCATCACTTTCACATTTTCTATGTAACTAGATTCAAGATAATAACTTGACAACTTGTTTCAGATCAGCAAAATGAATTGCATACCTGGGGAATGACTGTTTCTAGAGTTTCAAAGAGTGGATCTTCCTCCAGTTGTTTTATTGACAGTGTAACCCTGGACCTTTCCCTGTCATCCACAATTAACACCTAATTGAGTACAATAAATCTGAAAGACAATCATTAAAATCCACAAAAGTAGATGAACAGATGGAACAAAATGCAAGCATTCCACGTGTACAGTCCAGATTATCTTCAGCTGACACTACATTTGCTGAGGCAGCCAGCATAAACGCATCTAGCTAGCATTACCATCTTTTTAGAAGAGAAAAAGTACAGTGTACCAATAGGTAAATCACCTATCTACAGAGATAATTTTGACCCTCACTTCGTCACCCGCTTCCAGAATATCTCTTGCATCTTGAACTAAATCCCATGACACCTCAGAGACATGTACAAGACCTGTAAGGTAATACTGACCTGCATAGTTCCAGTGCAATCAAAGTACTTCACAAACAAGAAACTCCAAAACCAAAGAAATCCACACTTTAAAGATCAATACCATCTAGAAAACGAAGATGGATGAATGCACCATAATCCTCAACAGAACCAACCCTTCCTTGGAAAATATCACCGACTTTTATCTGCTGAGAAAACTTCGACCAGAGAGCCTCTTTCTCCGAGAATATCAATCTCCGGTTCTCCTCATCTGCTTGGATAATCTATGAGACCAAAGTAAAGCTTTTTCAACTCTCAAAGACATCAGTAGACATGGAATTTATTTGGCTATGAGGGTTATATACATATAAGAAGAAAGATAACATAAATTTATCATTTCAAATCAAGTTCTGATCAAGCAAGATCCAGCATATGACACATTATCAACAATATTCATCTGTTCATCATTAAAGCCCCTGGAAAACTCCAGTCAGCTTGCATTTACTTAGTCCAAATAATAATTAAAACATATTGTTTAGAACTATTAATAATTACAACAAAAATAGGTTCTTTAAATTGCTTCATGTACAAGAAACTTAAGAATGAATCAATAAGTGATGGTTTCAAAGTTATATCTAACGACACCTAAATGTGATATGACTAAAAAGAATGGAATGGTGGAACTTGAGGGAAATAATATGTTAATAAAAATTTTCCCTTTTTTTTTTGTGTTTTGGTTCTGTCAAAACTTGCATATGAAACACTCAAGTTATTAGAAAATTATAGGGATCCTTCAACCTGAACTAGATTATCAGCAAAAAAGAGAAACATTTGTGCAGGAAAAAGAAGAAAATTGAACTATCTATCTTCTATTCTGTTTGGTTTATGTATTAGGATAAAATGGTAACAGATTCAGAACTGATGCAGCTGGAAGATTTTCTCACCTTAGTAGGAATCACTGAACCAACTAAATCTTTGGCAATCTCTTGAATAGATTTCTGAGGTTCTGCAGAGTAAGAGAAATTAATATGTGCCTGTCAAACATACTACCAACTGCAACCATAACTAAAGAAATTTAGGTTCCTGTGTTTCTTCAAGGACCTTCAAGACTAAGATTGTAACAAATTTTTCAGAAAGCAAAGCTAGAGTGCATCTTTAAAGGCTCACTAGAATGGCTGATGGAAAAGGCTGATCTGATTTAAACCAGGTACTAAATTACTTCCTGATTATTACAAGTTAAAAATAAGTATAATACATTAGGCAAAGAAAGATAAAATCAGAGTCCAACTGTACCATCTGAACAGTTGAACTTAATTGATTTTCCACCATTAAGAACTGTAGAAAACAAAAACTGAGCTTCCGGTGAAGCAAGGCATTAGGCCTTTTTATAAGATATAAAACAAACGATTTAACTACAGGAAGAAGGTCCAGTAATGACTGCACCCTGAATCATATATAATCAGAATGGATGCTGTAAATAGATGCATCAGCTAAATCCCGCAGCTAAGTTCTTACAAGTTACAATAGAGACCTGAATAGCTTTTCCATTCTTCAAACACTCTCTCATATCAACAGCTACATTCATTCTGAATTTTATTTTTTCAATTAATAAATTGATCTCAGAATGGAGCTTCATTATTGATGCTGAGCCTACAAAAGGTTCAGAAGAACTCTTTTTGTGAACTTCATCTCTTGCACTCATAGTTATCGAAGGCAGGAGCTTAAAAGCTCTTTAGTTTATCCAAAATACATAAACTGAGATAACATCCATAATCTCTGACGAATAGGTCATCTAAGATCATCAGATAGTTGTCTCTCAATCCTAATTCGTGGCAATATAAACATAAAAACATTTTCTGAGAAATGGCACTGTTTTCATCAAGACGGGATAATTCAATGGAAAAGAACCGAAATGCAGCATAATGTACCGATAGACATGCCAAGAAGAAAAGCTCTACTTGAAATTGCATATGATGTTATTAATTAGATAAGACAACCAAATTCTTCTTTCTTATTTACTTCTACTTGTTCAGCAACTTTTTTTCTCCCTATCACATCAAAGTGGATATAAAATACAAAAACATGAACCAGAGAAAATCGCACCTTTACATGTATAAGTGGGGCCTAACTGTGGGAATGGAAGAAAACCAACAATGGAGTAAAACCGAACCAATAATCCACCACCATTAAATCCTTCAACTCTGCCTTCGTAGATGATTCCTTTTTCTTTATAAGCTTGTGCGGCCTTCCAATCAGCAGACCTCTACTTCTTTGTCAACAGAATAGAGAATAGTTCTCATAAGCATCATTTAGCAACAAAAGAAAAAAAGGGAAAAAAAAATCTACTCCTATTAGCACAAGGAATAGAGCAAGACGGCAGTACAACTTTCTTTTCAGATACTTCCCAGATGAAATATTTCCATTTTTGAATTTGCAATAAAACTCATGCATGTCAGCTAGAAACTAAGCGTACAAAGAACAGATTGTCACATTATGACCCATCATAAGTTATTTGAAATAAAATATTATCCACCACAACAAATTCTTTCTCATGTTTCCCCGGAATTCATGGTCTGATGATCCAACAGTTCAACAAAACATGGATAAGCTGTCAAAAGTATAGCTATATGCATCAAATCCTTCTTGCGGACACAGACTAATGAAACTCTCAACTATTAAATTATGAAGTCAACATTTCTTTTTACTCCTTGAGGACTATATCAGCTCCAATTTTACACTTTTACCTTCCACTAATAAACTATGCAATCACCTGCATATACTCTCAATGCATCAATTTGCATTTCCAAAGCAGCCTTTTCATTTGTACATGCATAATGATCCCAAATTCAACATCATTTTGTTTTCATTCTAACAGAAATTTATAAAGATCAAGCCTCTGTTATATTAATTGGGCCAGCTGAATCATTTCTAAGTGAAACTTTGACAAAAGCATCACGAGAATCAAGAAGAGACAAACCCGAGCTTGCCGAGCATCATCAAGGGACGAAGATTGCTGCTGAGTCTGAACAACTCCATCATCAGTTTTAGCAGCACTGCCACTGGAAACTGTAACTTTAGGCGTTAATAGAGCAGCCCTCTTGAAAGAATTGCAGTTGGATAACTGTGGAAAGTTCAAAACTTGATGATGATTACAAGAACTATCAAATGCAAAGACGCGGGAAAGAAAGGCAATTTGGGTCCTTGAAACAGAGCCTAATGATGCAGTAAATATCGGCATTCTGTTGGATTTTGGGACCAATAATGATGATCAAGGATCCGGGAAGGGAAGAGGGCTGATCTCCGCCGTGGCGGTGGTCGATTCCGGCTGCCAGAATTCGGATATTTGGGATTTGTGTGTATGGATTTAGTTTTGTCTGTGTTGGATAATGGAGGAAGTTTTTTCTGAGAAGTTTGAGTGAACCACTTGTAACTTTCACACCCACTCCTTGTTTTTCCCACCTTTTTTTTTTCTTTTCCTTTTTAATTATTAAACAGAAATTCCAAAACCTTTAAATAGCAATCAAAATCAGCTATCAATTCAAAGCTATAAATTTACAGCTTGGAAATTCCTTCTGAATTACTGTGTTCTACAATTCAATGCTTTGGTCTCTAATAACTATTCCTTTAAGTTTACAAACAACATTACACTCTGCAAGAAGTCTCTAAAAATCCCTGAAGCTCATTTTAGGGTCTTGCTTAACCCTGTTGCCACGGCCTCTCCCTCTGCCCCGTCCGCGACCCCTTCCTCGTCCTCGGAAAGAAAATGATTTTCCATGTTTCATCTCAATAAGTGAATGCAACAGCTCATCACAGAGAATGCACCCACTGTATAAAGTGGCTCCATCTTTCAATGGAGTTGTTTTCTTGTTGAAATCCACTTCTAATATCGTGGAGTCGCACTCGGTACATTTATTTTTGGTCGTCGTGATTCTGTGAGCACCCTCTGGAAGGAAAACAAGGCAATTGCACATGTTGCAATATAGTCTCCATTTGGGAGCGCTCACAGGGTCAAGGACAAGTGTTCCACTGCACTCTGGACAGGCGCAGACCCCCTGTGCTATCAGAGAATGCTGACATGTGGGATGGGGACAAAGGAAACAAGGCATACCAACTCCCTTGCCCAGCTTTGCTGAATCCGCACTTTTAGTGTTGGCACCATATAACGCGCCAATCCCTTCAAACGGAGGAGAGTTATAACAGTAAGGGCACAGAGGGAAGGATTTGCCTTCAGGGCCAGGCAAGGAGAAGAGCAATAGCTCAAAGTTATCAAGAGGGCAAGTAAGTTCTTTATACAGCTGCAAAATAAAAAACAAATTGAGTTAATAACTGATCAAAGAACAACATTCGGATTGTCACTCCAAAAAGAGCGATTTATGAATACAAGGACATGAAGATCATCGACCAGGGTACCCTTTGTCTACAGAACTCTTTAGTATAAGCTGGAAGAAAACAACCACTGGCATAAACTCGAACAAATTTGTCCTGAAAATTTTAAAATTCGGAATGTCTCCAGCTAGACCAACCATACACTGTCAAAGAGAAGGATGATATACGCAAATTGGATCAAGAATGGCACGCATACATGGTCAATGACATATGCTTGCAGAGGAAGAAGATTGGAAATGAAGACTAATGTGAAACAAGTAGGAGAAAAGCCACGTGGAAGGAACTCGGTTCTTTCTTCTAATTCACATGTCATCAAAAACTATGTACCCTAAAGTTGGGTAATTTAAAAATTAAAGCACCTTCCTCAGAGCCACGATATGAGGTTGAAATATCAAAGGACTCTTTCTGAGTTTTTCAGAAAGTACACTAGCACAAAAATTGTCCATCACCTGAAGATACTTGACTATTTGAACAGTTACAAGAAGATTTTTTTTTTTTTTGACATAGTTTCAATCTTCTGCCATATATAAAACTTCAACTAAAATGAGTAGTTCCAGACACTAGCCACATGAAGATCTACATTCCAAGGATTTGTGAAGCAGAACTCAAAAGATGCTGATTACCTTGATTGTACCCTTTTGAGGTACATAATAAACTTCCTCACACGTTCCGCAGTAGAGCCGCGATGGCTGCATTGATATGTACTTCATGTACCGCAGGCATTTGCCGCATTTGCTCAGCATGCGTCCAGTTTCAGATAATGGTGAAAATTGTGCTTCAAACAACGCATCCATGTTTTCAATCTGCATGAAAGATGGCTATTCAGTATCAAACGCATACTTAAAAAGGCTTCACGAATAGAAACTCAACCAATCCTGAGGCTGTATCAGCAGCAAAACAGCTAGTACCAACAAAATCTCGTCATAAGCACAGCCCAAAAAAAAAAAGGCTCTCAGGCCATTAACATAAAACTACATTAACAAACCAAAGTACTAATGGTCAGAACAACTGTTTGTCAGACATAGCATGAAAGGCTGGTTGTCAAAGCAACAAGTTTCATGCAACACTATCATGTAATGTTTCCATTCAGAATGGTAGTTTTCGCTTAAAAAAGAAAAAGAATAATTAAGTACAATAGAAGAAGCAATGTGCTAAAAAGAACTTCCTAACGACCGTGCCAACATTTCACACGAATACATGTCCCATGGTAACCAGCGAAGGAGAAGAAAAGGTTGATTTATTTTTGAACTGTTTCTGTTGAATGACAATTAAGAGAAGACAAGTTCTGTGTCTGGCGTGAATAATCAAAAAAATTTCTTTCTGAAAGAATCTGCGGAAGGAACCAGATTACAACAGACATTTAGGTGAAACTCAAAAAACTTTTCAAGGATTTAGATAGGTGCAACTAGCAAATCTGTTTATGTACATGTAACTAATAAACAATGGCATGCCATAAACTGAGGTATATACTTATATTAAATTTTCTGTAGTACCTGCTTCACGAAGTAACTGAACTTCTTCTTGAATTGTTCAAGAACATGTTGCACAACCAACTCATGTTGGGCTTGACCTTTGGCCACAAGGGAGATTTGGTGCTCGATGAAACTGCGGATGTCAGGTAAACATAAATCTGGATCCGTGCATTGATACCCTCTTATCAGAGTTATTCCTAGTGTAGTTGGAACCAACCTCCGTCCAGCTTGTACCTACAATTATATGAAACATAGAAAAACATACAACTTCAATAGCAGAGATAAGAATACAATAATCTCTAAATATAACTCATTTGGATTTGTTTTAAACCAATAAAAACATGAATATGCAGACCTGCACATAATTCCTCTCACATATGTTGTTAATATGCACAGGGATGGATGCATCTGTACCTATCCCATTCTTCTCCATCAGTGAAATCAATTCACTCTCACTAAGGTAGTCTGGAGGCTGAGTATTCCCCTACAAATCCAAGAAACTTATTCAGAAATGACAAATTTTTAAGAAATATGCGTATTCCCCAAAATGAACATTTAGAACCGTAAGGACACAAGCGTACTGTTGGGGAACTCAAGACTACACCCTAAAACATAGTTTAACATTTAGCTATGTTCTTAGACACGTAGAGCTGGCAAGTTCACATTGTAAAAATGGCCAATAGCTATTCAGTAAACTGGAGATGCCAATCAGAATAAGTTAACACCAAAAGGATAGTCATGATGATCAAATTTCATAGAAAAATTCGGTGACAGGGCTTCCAGAAGTAACCTCATCAAGTTCGAGTTTTGAAATTGGTATCTTCTCTCCATCAGTAAAATCAGGAAGATTCCTCTCACTAACTGCCAACCAAGGCATAATCGCTGTGAAACCTTTAATGGTGACATTGTATCCAGTACAATGAAATAATTCTTTTCCAACTTCAAATTCAACTTTTATCCTGGAGAAATAAAACCACATGTCACTTCAAATTAATGTTACGCAATATTAAAAATCAAATATTGCAGATTTTAAGCTACCAGAAAACAAAATATATTTATGTGAACAGCTATTAGAATTAAAACATGCATTTTCCTCACAAGTGTGCTAAATTGTTCATTTCAAACAAAGCAATATAGGCAAGGCATCATTTTGGGCTGCATCAAAGTTTTGAAGACAAACTGGAGTTTTTATAGCAAGATACAGATATTTAAAAAGATTCGTCTTGGACATGGCAAATAATGTCTCTCTTTATCGCAATTGCACTCTACTTTCTTTAAGAACCCATCCTTCCATTATTATTATTTTGTTTTTACCGAAATTGGATTTGATCTTTGAACCTCAAGGAGATTCACTTGCAGCCTTACCGCACACAATAGGCTCTATTCCCTTCAAAACTCTTTTGGTCTTAAGATCAAATGGACATTACAGCTGATATAAACTACAAACAGCGTTTCCAATGCAGCCAACTACTAGAAATAAGAACATCTATTAGGTTCAGCCTTGATAAATAACATAAAAATCATCTTTGAGGCTGGTTTGGCAGCTGAGTTCAAGGACATGTATCTGAAGTCAAAGGGGGAAAGCAAAGAATTTAAGGATTGATCAGAGCTGAATAAACTTAGGGCTGCTATTTTCGTTGTTGAGTTGTATTTAGGGCTGAGTAAATTTATAGACTGAACAACCTAATAACATCAAGATTCCAAATCAAGAATACTTTGGAAAGTTTTTGGCATAGTTTACTCATTTTAAACTGGCAATACAAAGATGGTAACTTTGATACTTGGGTTTATTTAAAAAAAAAAAAAACTGACCCCTTAGTTTAAAGTTTGAACAAGTTCGAGCATCAAAACAAGTCATTTAGTACATAAAAGAAAAGAGAGTACAGACTTACTTTCTGTATTTGCAGTCAGGAGACAATGTCCCCAAAAAATGTTGACAAACATATTGATATAGCCTCCATGCATCATGCCCTAACATATCTTCAGTTGCTGATCGCATTGGTGTTATTGGGGGATGATCACCAGCATCAGTTCCTAATCGCGGCTTAGAGTACCCATCAGCTAAAAGACTTCGAGCATAATCACCCCATACAGGGTTAGAAGCCTGTCCTTCAATGGTGCCTTTGAAGTCAAATGACGAAGGATATGCAGTGCTCTCAGTACGTGGATAGCTATAACAAAGGAAAACCAGCAAGAGTAAATTAGTCATGAAAAAAAGGAAAATAAACCAACATGAAACGGCCAAAAGTTTTTTTTCAACATTCTTCCATGAATCCACCATAAAGAGAAATTCAGATTTTGACTCATCCATTCAGTTGAATGGATATGCTATTCTAGCATCTACTGTACAACATAAGAAACTAGAACACCAAATAAAATGCATCGGAAGTCTCAATATGATGGTGAGAATTCCCACAGCACAACAGAAAAAGCAAACTGAGTTTTGGGATTCTATAATTATCCAAAGGGTGTATACAGAAGCAGTTTAAAGCTTAAGCTGAATATAAGCATTTAGAACAGGTGTGAGTTGCAGCCAAATACTCAAGTGCAAACATTTAAAAGGATACTGAAAAGTTGTTATTCCAACTTAATCTCTCTTGCAGCACCTCTCCCAGGCATATCCATCTATGTTTTACACTCATGATTTTGAGAAAGGACAGTATACACACAATACTACCACTGAAGCCCAAAGTTCTAGAACTCTGTCAATACTGAAAAGAAGTAGTTGGCCGCATTGGAAACGCTGTTTAGTTGCCACAATTCTTGAAAGAAGTACCTAACGGAAAGCATCATCTTAATAAAAGTTTATATAACTAATAGAAAGGTGGATTAATACACCAATTGTAGCTAGTATCATAGGATATGAAACGTAAGTACCACTTCTTTTTTTAAGGTAGGTCAAGTATGTTTTTCTAGGAAGGTTTCGGCAATAAATAATAATCAATTGAAAGTAAACTGCCAGCCTCCTTGCTGCATGTGGCATAAGTTATGAAACATCTTCAATGAACTTTGCACATTAACCATGAAATTTTACAAGGGGGTTAAGAAATTTAACTTTCAGACGAAAAAATTGTGCCAAGGAACAACCTGATGAAACCTTGAGTGTACAAGCGCTCTGCTATTTGCATAGCTAACTGTGGCCCGAAGCCTAATGCACTTGAAGCAACCTGGAGCCAGTCAAAATTTAGTGTCATACTCGAACTAATTAGAAGATCCACTAGCAAAATTATCATAAGTACAATACTGAAAGTTTGATTTTAAAATTTCAAACTCTGCATAAAACCTTTTTCGAATTACAGTGCAAGGTTATAACCTTAAACCTTATGCAGGATTGTCGCGATGATAACAAACCAGGAAAAGTTCATATAAGGTGTTACAGCTTGTTCCTTCACAGTGAGTATAGAACTGCCCAAACAATACTGAAGAAACGCTGATAACTCCAAAGCTCTTCCATTCTTGTCCAAACATATCCACATTTCTAGGCAACTAGCTTAACTGTCCCCCAACACATATTGAGCCATCAAATTTATTCAAAGATGATGATCAAGTTCCAGTTGTTTTACAGCTTTATAAAATTTTCTCTCTGGTAAAAATCTCACACTTCACTTGATCGACTTTATCTTGAGCTAATTCCACTCACTGTCTTGAGGTATTATAAGGCCACTTTTTACCCAAATTTAAACAAGCAAGTTTTTCCCATAGAATCTGCATTTACTGGTGTATTCAATATTATACTAGGTCAATTTAGTTTACTGTGTCCTCATCCCAGCTACCTCGCTTATTCACACTCAAACCTAGAAATCTGGAAAGCTGGACATCTCTGTACACAGTTTCAACCGCAGTTAGCAATCACAAAGTATTGAGGAAGCACTTTTCTGATTGTTCCAATCTACTAGAATTCTATGTGTAAACTACAATATAAAAATGAGCAAATTAAAAATCCTCTAGCTGTACGTACATTCTAATTGGTCTTTACATGTCACTCACATCTAATGCATGCAAAGGGGACCAATAAACTAGGATGGTTATCGTACTTACATTTAACCCACAAGTTGTACTGTGTAGTAATCTCTCAACATAGTAGTGACTCCTAAAGAATTGCATAGTAAGGTTCCCCCTGGTTGCTTTTTAAAGCAGTCTTCTTCCCCCTCAACGCTGAACTTTACCCTTTCTACCGTAACTTTCCCCCTCTCTAGCACCCAAGTTTTCTTCTCCTACCTGTTCTTTTAATTTTTAATTATAAACTGCAACTTTGGAGGATTCATTCAAACACAAATAAAAGCATGGAACTACAAAGTATCCTGCATCTCGTTGAAATCAGAGATCAAAAGACAAAAGTGCAAGAAAATCACTTCTGATTAGCAATATTAAAGCTAACCTTCAGAAGATTTACAGTGTTAAGCCCAGATGGACGAGCTTTGGACTCGTATTTTTCTGATATGCTCTTAACTTTCACAAATCCAGCTTCTGCTACTAAGTTCCGAAACATTGATGCAACCTGAAAACAGTGGAAGGTATAAGACCAAAGAGCATGTCCACAAAACTTGAAATGAAGCAAATGGGTAAACTCTATAAGATGGCCTCACATCTATGTCAAACAACCTGTTGCGCTCCCATTCCAGTTTCAGTTCATAACCCTTATATAGTATGTGAGGATGCAAAACCCAGTATTTTTCTGGCTTGAAAGATACAATTTGCAGGTGTCGTTGCACACAAAACCCAAGAGTCGGAGTTTGACAGGGTCCGTACCTGAAGGGATCAGCACAATGCATTGATTAGCATGGAACAATATGACTTAGAGATGTGACTGCAATTCAGTAACACAAAGTTCAAGCACATTCAAATGACACTTTCCATGAAACACTAATCCATTTCAGAAGTATACCACCAAAAAAGTGTCAGCTAGATGACACTAAACTTGCTGGCTACAAAAGTAATCCAAAAGTTCATCATCAGCAGAGTAAGTTTCACTGCATGTGTAACTCGTGGGCCCCAAAAATACATAACAAGTTAACAACATGATTACTGTGAGCCTAAATAGGAAGAAAAAACTAGGAAAATTAGACAAGCCAGTAACACATGATACCAATTATCAAGAAGCAATACAGTGAAATATACAAAGCATGTGACTATTTCACCAGATTGCTGGACAAACAAATACAACAAGATATTTCAGTTATATGGAAGGTTACAATCAATCACCGGAATCTGAAAGGTTACAATCAATCACCGGAATCAACTTATTTGATTCTTCCACCAGCTAAAACTAAAAAACAGATCAGATACAAAGGAGAGTCTAACCATATTCAAGAGAGAACTTACGAGATGACTCTGGAGTCAAGATTTCCATATTTACCGTTGAAATAACCAGTCTGGAACCGGGTAAATGCAACTCCAACTTTCAAGTCAATCTCTTGACGGGCATCTACAGCCAATGCTTCATCTCGATTGGGCGTAACAAGGTTCTTTAAGGCTTTAGAAATATCTTTCTCGGTAACAGATGAAAAGCGAGCACGATGAACTCTTTTATCATCATTTATTTGAAACCCCGTGCATTCAATAACTGCAAAAAAGAGCACCAAAATGAAACAAACAGTTACCACAATAAATTGTCGCAGATCTCAACATCAGGCGCAAGAAGCATGCCATCAACATTAGGTGTTGACCAAAAACAAATTACTAACTGAACCAACTTATGCAAAGTCCACCGGATTAAGAATTAAAAGTAGTTTCAATATCAAACATACAACGCAAACTAAAATGCACAGATTTGTCCAGCTTTCACAAACAAAAAAGAAGCAATGAGCAATCACATCCATATTCTGACATCTAGCAGATCACTAAAAGCAGATCCTAAGACCAAATAGCTGAATTCAAAACAGCCTACATACCTTCAAAACATATGTTTTCACCTTCTCGATCACAATCCAACCACAACACCAGGTGTGCACAGCCTCGAGCTTCTTGACTTAAGTGCCTACAGACATGAGCCTAATTTCAGAAGATAAGTCAGTAATCTTTCACTAAAAAGCAGAATAAAAAGGACAAAATGTAAGCAACATCTATCACTTTCAGTACAGTTCATCAACACAAATAAAGCAGATATGACGCCCATACTCTTACGAACATCAAAACATACTAAATGATGCAAACAGAAGCAAATTTTTTCTAGGTAATCATTCAGTTAAAACAAAAACGAAAAATAGTTGTACCAAATTATTGCCGTACTGTATTACTATCAAAAGCATTATGCAAATAAAAGAAAACCTTCAGAAATAAAGTATGAGACACATAGGACAAGACAGAAGATAGACTAACACAATGGTTCATCTTGTTGATTTTTTAGTTTGATTAAATCCTCCATAAATAAACAACAAGGATCACATGGATGCGCTGCCTCATGAAACAAAAACCCAAGTGCATAATGGATGAACTTCTGCATCTTTGTTCTCGTCCATTTCTTACCAATCCCAACCCCTCCCCATAGAAGGAGAGGGGAAAGGACAGGCAGGCAAAAAGAACACCCAGCACGTCACGAAGGCATACCAAAACAGTTATTTTATAGAAGACCAAAGTTATAGCTAAACTCCCATGATTCAGTATGTGAAAATCCATTTGCACTTATTTTGTGAAAACATAGAAAGTCAAAAATAAATAAATAAATAAATAAAATCATGAAGGGTAATCCAGCCTTTTTAAGGGGGAAGTTGAAGAAGTTAGAGGTCAAGTTGAAGAGACTATATCAAAGTATTACTACAGCTTGGTACTAGTTCCAACATCCAAAATTCTTTTAATTCTCCTTGTTTCTTCTTAAGAGGTGAAAACAGACCACAAAACTAAAAATTGAATCCGAAGGGAAGTCAAAGAAAATCAACACCCCAAAAGAATGCCTTCATAATGATGACACACCAAACTCACCTTCGGGTTAGCTTCTGTTTTGCGAACTGGTGCTTCAAAAAGATCTAAAGGATCTGTTGCTGCCCAATTTTGATAAGGAGCCGGAAAATCCACACTACAGTTTTACAAACAGATCAAACTCATTTTATCAAACCAAATAGGAATAGGGAACAGGAGTTATTAACAAAGCCAAAATGCAATCAACTTGAGAGCATATACATGTTGGAGATGAAATGAGCTGCAAAAAGACAATGAATATGGTAACTGGGACCACTAACAAACTTATGTGAGCAACCGGACACCATTAATTTATGAAATATTATTACCCACCCTGCCCCCCTCCCTTCGGGTCCCTTTCCCAAACAAACAACCCGTTTCTTGACTCTTGTTCACCAACCTATATTTCTACAATAATATGGGACAGTGTTGTAAGAAAAATAAAATTCAACAAATTAATTATATTTATGGCAAAACATCTTCAAAACTCATTTCTTCAAGACAAACGGGATAGAAGTCATCAAGAAAATGGATCGGGGAAACCAAGAATTCAAGTACCTGAAAACATGACCAATCACGGACGTTACTCTAAAATGGGCAGGGGACCCCAAAAACATTCCCTCAAACTCATGGACCTCTGTTGTACCCCTCCGTGTCGACATCTGCAAAAACACATTCCTTAATCGAACTTTTGGGCACAGTTTACCAAAAAGAGAATATCATCTATTCTTGATAGATTGTATTAAAAAACATATAAAAGTGATAACAAGAAATCCAGTAACAGATACATAAAGATCCTGCAAAGCCATAAATTGAAAACTTCATAAAAGAAAAAGGAAAGGCCAAAATTTGATAAGTGACAACAAGTAAAGAAAACAAAAATCCCTTTTACAATTAACTCAGCCAATAAGCCAATCCCAAATAAAGCACAACAATGAAATTGTTCAATAGTAGCAAGTTTAAACCTTAAATTGTTAATACGAGATGCATAATCTCCGGCTATTTGATGCAAATAAACCAAAGTTCCTCCAAACCAATGCAACAATCGCAGAAAAGAGAGTAACCTGGATGCCTATTGCAGTCTCCTCTTGCAGAAATGGCCACAATATCACACACATGTAGATTATGCACCAAAAGGAGCCAAACAAACCATGATAGGACTACTCTCCATTCTAGCATCTAGCCCTCGGTAGCTATATAATTGAAGTGTAAGATTTACTGAACAAGAAGTACTAACAATGCGTTCCGTTATAATGTGATCGTTGGTCAGGGGGTTTGGGGATAGAAATCTGTATTGATCAGAAATTCAGAATCCTCCCATCACTTAACCTCAGTGTGGACTCAATTCCATTACATCCACAGTTACAATTAAAACCACCACCATAATAAACATTCTAGTGCTCCAAACAAAACAAAGACTTAAGTTGGCAAATGAAAACACCAACTTTCAGCAAATTAGGACGGTAATTAGAGAATTCACAAGTCACTACGACAGTGAATAAGCAGGCAAAAATCAGAGTGAAACCCATTGCTACAACATTAATCACGGTTGAAGGAAATATCAACTAATTTGAAAACGTACCTGCCCACGTGAGAGTACTGAGGCGATTGATAGAGCTATGCTAGGCTTCTCGGCAACCTGATTGATAATCCCATATCCATATTATTAGTATCAGCTTTCACGCACACAGAATATATAGAAGTACAAAAGAAACCCATATCAGCAATAAATTTGAAGGCCATGGAATGATGGAACTGACCATGAGAACTTTGGGCGCCATTTTGGACAGGGAATTGCCAAGATTCTGCTAATGGAGAGTTGAATGGAAAAACTCCAGTCTATTTGCTGTATCTCTCTCTTTTCCTATTTTTGTTACGCGGGCCGAAAGAAAGGAAGAAGAAGCCACCGTACGAGGTAAAAATCGCACTTTCGATCCCTTGAGTTTCAATTAAATATGTGGATGACTTTGACATTTTGGACTTTTAAGAAAAAAAAATTTTTAAAAAAATTAATAATGAGGTTACGGTGATATCCAGGTCTCACCTGGCCAAAAAATACTCAAGGGGTATACCCAAGAGTTATATTTTGAGACAGTCAGTGCTAGATTGTATAATGCACCCAAGGGTATACCTAATAGATGGACATATATACAATCTAGTTCTCTAACTTCACCCCTTCCTGATTTTATTGCATTTATAGAGAAAAGTTGCCAAAGGTAGAAAATATTCTAACCTTTGGACTTATATATCAAGCATATCCATTTCTAATATAAGGAAAGGAATCTAAACTAGAATACATTTCAGAAGTGCCAGAAGATGCACTTTTAGCTAATCTATCTGCCACTGAATTTGTTTCTCTATAAATATGCAATACTCGATAACCATTCTTCTGAAGAATAAAAGACATTTCCTGGAAAGGTAGGAAATACTCCCATGAAAAACCAGAACCGCGAGTTAAGATATCTGCCAAGGCCTTATTATCTGTCTGAAGAATAACATGTGGAAGGCATGCACAAAAAGTCACATTTCCGCAATCCAAAAAGCGCACCAAGAACTTCGGCTTTAAAACTATCACCCCCTCCTATATAACCAGACTCGCCATACATAAGTAAACCTCCTTCTCCGCGAACCACAAAACCATATCCTGAGTCATTATTCATTGATGAGCCATCAGTATTCGAAATGAAAGAGTTTGGTGCCGGGGGAGACCAAAAAACTTTCAAAAACCGCGGCCGAATAATGTGGGTTAGGGTAAGACCAAAGTTTACCCTAATGAAACATCTTTCCTCATAAGAATCTTCAAATCATGAATAGATAGAATAGATCAGGCTTGTTCCATTATAACATGGATTAAACCCTTAACATTTGGCCGTTTTCCCTCGAAAATGAATTTGTTCCGAGCCTTCCAAAGCTCCCACAAAATAATTGCTGGAATGATCTTTCGAAGTGCACCACTTGCTGCCTTGAAGTCACCTTTCCTCCACCACCTTTGCAGCATTGAGACAAGTGAATTAACTCCCAAGACACTAATCCTCATAATAGCTGCAAAATGAAACCAAAGTTGCCTAGCCATGATACAACAAAAAAAAACAATGATCAATTTCATCATTTCCAGCCATACACAAACTATATATTGATGGAGAAGTATCTATTCCCATTCGGCTTAAAACTTTGGAGAAGGGCAACAATCTATTACGCAGCCTCCATATAAAAGTAGAAACTCTTAATGGAATCTTAGAACTCCATACATTCCGCACCCAACCTTCCTTTGATTTCTTGCACCTCAAGGCTTCATAGGCCGATTTCACCGTGAATTCTCCATTAGGAGTTGGTTGCCAAAAAAGAATATCATCATCATCTTCAAAATCATGACAAAACTCCACAAGAAAGGTAACAACATGTTCAGGAAAAATATGCATAATTTCATCAAGAAAATGTTGTTTGTTATAAAAGAAATCCTTTATACTCAAACTTGGATTAGGCGAATCATCATGGTTGCCATCCCATAACACTCCAAAAGGCGACCAATTGTCATACCAAAAAGAACGATCTCCCCCTTGAACAAGTACTTTGGTGTGTTGAACCGCGCGCTGCTCAATACCCTTAAGGCGATTCCATGATGTTTTCCTCTTCGAAGAACGCGACAAAGAGTCCAAAAACCTGCACCAAATTCTATTTTTCTATTTCCATTTCCACCATAGTTTACATGATAAAGCATCAATATTCTCATGAAAATTGCGAATCCCTAAGCCATTTTCCAATGCTGGAAAAGTAATTTGTTCCCAAGACCTCCAATGCCTTTTACTTTCATCCGCAACTCCACACCGTAAGAACCTTTGGCATTTACTTTCCATTTTCTAAATAATGGACTTTGGAGGGGGTATAGCCAATACTATATGAATAAGGATTCAAGACAAAACATGCTTAATGAGAATAAGCCGGACTCCCATGCTTAGCAATTTGTTTTTCCAACTCAAGAGCATACTATCCAACTTGTCCAATAAAAATTAGAAAGTTGAAGCTTTGCGCCTTCCTTGATATATATGAAAACCAAGATAGGTAAAAGGGAAAATTCCCTTATCAATTCCAAGAGCACCTTGAATGATCGCGACCCTTCTTGCTGGACACTTCTCAGAAACCATGAAAGCACTTTTTTGTCGATTTATTTTTTAACCAGAAGCCTTCTCATAGGCAAAAAAATCCATTAAACTCTGTCAAGATCTTTTTAACCCCCTTGAGAAGATAATTAAGTCATCAACAAAGGCAGATGTGAAACAACCATTGATCTTGAAGGAGTTCTATAACCAGCCACCTTCCCAGACACAACTAAAGCATTAAGTTTTCTAGTCATAGCTTCCGAGACCAAGATGAATAAATAGGGAGACAATGGATCCTCTTGCTTGATGCCGCGAAAAGACTGAAAAAACCCAACAGGGGATCTATTTATCATGATGGAGAACCAGCTATTTCTCAAGTTACTCATTATCAAGAGGACAAAAGAAGACGGTAAACCAAACTTGAGCAATACTCTTTCCAAAAAGCTCCACTTTACACGATCAAAAGCCTTCATCATATCCAACTTTAAAATGAAATTCTCCCCTTCAGCCTTCTCATCAAGAAATTGGCAAAGGTCTTGAGAAAGCAAAACATTATCAAAGATATCCCTCCCTTCTAGAAACGCTGATTGCTCTTCCGATATTAGTTTTGGCAACACAACTTTGAGTCTCTCTGTAAGAACCTTTGTAAACACTTTATTCAGAAAATTACAAAGGCTTATAGGCCTATAATTTGAGAAAGTATTCGCAGTATTCTTCTTCGGGATCAAAGTAATCAGAGTACTCGCTATCGATCTAGGAATAGGGATACCATGCATATTTGGAACAATAACCATATTTGGACTTTTCTTTTAAAAAAAAATTTGGGAACAATAATCTATATACTACTTGGATTTTATTCTCTTTGTTATTTATATATAGTACAAAAAGAATTTTGCATACGTAACACATAATTAGAAACTCAATCAAAATGTATAGTCTAAAATTAATTGTCACTCCCCCGTATTAACAATTTTATAATGTTACTTTAGATAAAAAAAAATTCTCAATTATATAAATTTCTCAGCTGACAGAAGATACTAAAAATGGTGGTGGTTATATGGATTGTTTAAAAATGGTGGTGCATGTTATAAGGTTATTTATATTGAGAATTTTTGTCAAGCATGAGATATGTCGAGACTAAACGAAAAATTACTACATCGGTGGCAATCGAATTTTTGCGGAAAAAATTGATTAATTATTACTTGTGAAATGTAACAAATATTAAGGCGTATTACACAATATAAACCGCATGAACAGTAACATCACTTTTTTTTTAGGTTACAATTGATAAATACATAGCCATTTCATTATATATATATATATATATATATATATGCAGTGACAACAGTCTAGTCGACTGAGCGATTCAGTCGATTAATATAACCGTCGGATTGTAAAGAAACAATTATCACTATGGGATTAAAAATGGGCTACATACAACTAAACAACGCCTAAACACTGAATAATTTACAGGGGGAAGTGACAATGGGTTTGTAGATCTGATTTCATCATTCTTCCCTCTTTTCTCTTGTTCTTTGAAGACATTACTATTGTATTCAATTGATTATGAAATTAATCGGCAGACAACTTAGGAAATTTGTTAATCAATTCATTTATGTTTGTTTTTGAAATAGGTATCCGGCAACATTTATATTTTGTCATTCTTCTGCCGTTTGAAACCAAGCGGAACAAATAGAAGTTCAATTCGATCGATTTCATTTTACATGGCGGAACAAGGTGCAAAAATACAGCATGGTGAAACCGGCTATTTTGGATTTTCAAGAATTAATGGCATTCTGAGTCTCATGAAGTTTCAATATTGTGCTTAGGGTTCTTAATTATGATACTGGAAAACTAAACCAATTGAAATGATATCGAAAAATTCATTTTTCATGTCCCAATTATTTTTTTATTTTAATGGATTGATATTTGTGTAATTTTGGTCACAATCTAACTGGATTTTAGCGCCTTTGCACTGGAGTATCATTAATTGGAATCCTGATTCAACTCGATAGCCTGAACCAATTTTTTTTTTCCGATAACTAATTTAAGTCAAATAAATCTATATGTAGATCAATGGGAAATTAGGAATACGAGAATGTAGCCTTTTATTGAATTTGATGAAGAGGAGAAAAAAATCGCTTTAGGTGATTTAATGAGAATTTGATTGACTAAATGTAGGGGTATCCTCCCTGTATTTAATGGTTTGATAATGAGAAAAGAGTTCTTAAATCTCTATACACTTGAATTAATTGTTCATTGGCAAAATCTTTTGTTCCCTAACTACTTTCCAATTGTGACTTCTATTGTCAAAATTTTTACGAATCTAATGTGCATGAATTGGGGGAGGAAACGAAATCAATCCAAAATTTGTATAGACCTTGAATTAATAATCGGCTACCAGTAAATTAAAGGATTATTGATAAGGATTTATTAAAATACTTCTCACCCCATGATTATTATGATGTACCCAAATTTGATTGGGATAGTGTTTGACTGGATGGTTTAACAAAAAATTAATGACTGAACCATAGAATTTTCTATATATATATATATATATATATCTTGTTTCCAATATATAGGATTTGGTTGAACCCATGTGATAGTCACATGACTATTATTCCCTTGCACCCATTTCCAATAACATTGCCGCCTCCTCCAACAGGTTCTTCCCATCCTTCAGA